CAAATCCCCATGGTCAGTATCCACATCTCTTTACCTGAGAGTCTTTTCTGATGCCCTGAGTCTCTTATTCCCATCAGCATGAAATACAAATGTGGTGAAGGATAAATGGTCCGGGGGCACCCCTCCATGGGAGCGACTCTATCCCAATTCTGTAGCATCTCAGGTCGGGTAACTCTAAGCAGTGTGTTCTCTGCTGGCTCAGCGTTTTTAAGGGGATTAAACTTAAATCTGTGTTGCTCACAGTAGCAACACGTTTGACAATACATCCTCTCTTGATTACCTTCCCATCTCTGTTTCACATCCCCTCTTCTCTATCTGTAGCAATTGGAACCATTATATGATAGGCTACTTGCCTAGAGGTGTGCTTCTGAAGGAACACAGACTAAGACAGACAATTGCAAAGCCCTTGGCAACTGGTCTGTATAACTCTCTAGAATCAGCTGACACCTTTCTTCCCCAGAATGGTTCCTTGATTATTCTTATAACCAATCCAACTCCAATGGCCCGAACACTTGCCATTCTGCAAGACAGTCGTGTCCTATTTCACCCTCTTGGTCTATGCACATGGCACTAATTGTGCCTCCAACATTTACCATTTTCCCTCTGGGATGGATTCTCCTTTTTATGACTCTGTACACTAATGAGATAGTTGCTTGCCTCTCTCTGTATTTGGATAGTATGCCTTGTGAGGGCTGTGACTGTGGCTGTCTCTCTGGGCCATCATTTTTATCTCTACTTAGTCTAATGCACTACATATAGTCCTGTTCAACAAACCATTCTTCAACATGTAATTGTATAAATGAGTATGCTTAAAGGTTAATAAATATAGTAAATGATGTACATGTGGAAGGATCTATTTGTACTGTGGTTTCAGCAAGTTGACCCCCAGAGGTTGTTGAAAGGACATAGTTGCCATCTCTGTAGCCTCTGAGAGTTCTTCTTTGCTTGAAAAGCTGTGGGTTAAGGAGAGAAATGAAAGCACTTATTTAAGCATGTAGCTCAGGCTGGATTCTGGATGGTGCAGCCCCATACAGAAGAAACCTCTTACTGTCACGGTGGACCATGGTTGGCTGTGTGTCAAGCAGAGAAACAACAAAGAATCTCAAAAACTTACGGGCCTTTGCTGCCTCCAAACCCCCTTTATTTGATCTCTAGGCATGCAGTGTAGTCTTTCGAAACCCCATAGATCACTGCTTCTGAAGAGCCCAGATATCATGTGGCATCATGGCAAGGCAGTGAGCAGTGTTACCTGCCCCTGCTTAGGGGTTCTGGGCAAGTGACAAATTCAAGTTCTGAGTTTCTGTCGATTTCCCCATCTGTAAAAAAAGATTAGATTGTTTGCTTTTACCATCATGATGATCCCGGTTTTGTTCGAGAAGACAGAGATGGGATAAATAGGAGGGTCCCTCATCCCCTGTTTGATTACAGAAGCTCTTCAACTTGTTCGTATTTCACATACTATTGTGCTTTAAAAATGGATTGCATGGTCAGAGTGTTTGAAAATCACTGACTGCCTGCAGACTACACTAACTTAAAGAGCATTGGTGTTGGCACACATGCTCGGACACACACACTTTCTCGATCTATTTGGGAAATATCTGCCTCTTTTCATGAATCTATTCTTTAAATCTTATTTCAATCTTGACAGTGAGTTGAATAGAACTGAGTAAAACATTCTCTTTAATGATTTATCCCACTTTGGAAACAGTTATCTAATAGAATTTAGCAATGACTCTTGTTAAATTATTTGGAGCTCTGTCTCATATCTCCCAGTGGACTGTGTTTGTAAAGAGTCTAAAACACCTGCTGTGGGTGGTTCTTGGCTTCTCTCTCTCTGCCCTTTTATGGCATTCATATCGGTGTCCCTAAACTTTACTCTTTTGTACAGAATTCAACAGTTCAAGTATCAGCAGATAAACCTATATTATGGTGGTACTGCCAGTCTATGGCTCAGAATACAGTGCATACATTGCCTGTGCAAGTACTTGGATGCTTTTATGATCCTTGTTTTCATGCTTTTAGATATTAGAAAAGTCAATTCATTTATTGATACTTGTCACAAGCAGCCATGTCTCATAATAATCATAACAAGAGTTAATATAAACCATGTCTGGCACAGCTCTATAATCTTTGATATTTATCTTAGCTCATTCTAATAACAGCTTCATGGGTGGGTACTTTTATTATTTCCATTGTATAGATAGGAAAACTAAATCTTAAAGCAATTAAATAACTTTCCAAAGACCACATAGCTATTAAGTGGTGATGAGACAAAAAAATGAGATTCAATGGGCAGATTGAAAATAGCAGAAGTTTGGTCTCAGCTTCCAGTTCTGAAAATTGAATGACTGAGTGTCCAATTATGAAGAAAAAATGAAAATATACTGAAGTATATCATTGAACATAGCATCCAAAAAACTAGATATGACTAGAAGTGACATGAAAACTGAACTTTCTGGTAACATGTAAGAATGTTTCCAACTGTATATGTAAAGTATAGGTGCTCTCAGGAATTATTTCTGTAGAAGAGAGGGTGTATATTAGATTCAAATTCATGCTACCCTTGATCTTCTAATTCTAGGCCCTGGTATTCTATTCCATGTTACTGTGTATACGCGAGAGAGTCTTTTAAATTATGCTAATGTGTACATGTAAGAATCTTGTAGATTTCCACAACAGACAACAACCACACCACTATTTTTGAAGCATACAAGCTATTATATATTTTCATAATATAGAACTTTAAGGTATAGTAATCAACAGTGGCAAAATATTTCTGTCTTTGACATTATTTTTTCGTGAGATCCAACCTGTAATTGAGACCAGAGAAAACAGTATGAAGAAACAAATCCAGGAGAACAGGATAAAAATATCATGAACAGCAAAATATGTCTGAGTATTTAAAACCGTATAGAAAAAATAAATTAGATGAACAATTGTGTAAATATAAATTAAAAAAAGATGACATTCTTAATAAATAAAGTTTACTATTTACATTTTTATATATTGCTGAAAGACTTAACTTAGATCCATAAAAACACATAAACAGGAAAAAATAAAACCCAAAAAAGGAGCAGCAAATTTATGCGCGTGAGGTACAGAAAAAGGGTTGGAGTTGTGTTTTGTTTTTGGTGATTAGATTATTTTCTTTTTTTTTCTTTTTTCTCTTTTTTTAATAGTAGGCCAGTAGAATTTTCTTGAGAACAGATTTTTAAGCATATCAATGGAGAGTCATTTTTGGTAGTTTCCAGAAGATGCCAAACAGATTTCAACATCATCATCATTAGAAATACCCATAATAATTATAACAATAATAAAAAGGTATAATATACATAAATATGGAAGAGCCGCTTGTAATATGAATACATTTTCTCTAGACGAGATCACAGTTTTATTTTGTAAATATTACATTTAAGTATATATATACACACATATATGTACAACTATATATACATGTGCATATATATGTAAATTTATATTTATATATAATATCTTTATATAGATAGATATCTGCGGACAGGTTATTGATTATAGAGACCCAAGAAAGCAAGTCAATTAATTGTTCAAACTTCTCCTCACTGACTGCTGGTGTAGAATTTAAGAAACCCCGAGTTTGCACTCAGAATGCCGTATCTTCTTTTAATGGAACACTCGATGTGGAATTTTAAGTCTGAGAAGAAAAAGAAAACTTAGGGACTCCCTTCCTCTGTAAAGCTGGAAGTGGCCTGGAAGTCTTGAATAAGCAGTAAACTGACTTTTACACTGTAGGAAGTCACTGTTTTGTTTTGTCTTTTAAATCAAATTACAGAACTGGTAAAGGCCTGAATAAGGGGAGAAAGTCCAACTTATCTACAAGTAAAATATTCTCAAATGCAAGCCTCTCTCAAGGTGGGTTCTAATCTAGGAGCTCACTTCCATTCCTTGAAATACCGAATGAGCACTCCCTGTCTTTCTCGAGTGGCCGGTGGGCCTGTGCATTCTTGAAAAGTAACCCATAGACGTTGTGTCAGGCTCTCACAGATTGGCTCTCAAGTAGATTGCCGCAGCCCCTTAGAAGCCTCGGGGCCTCACAATCCCCTGCCCTCCCGCTGTGAGGTAGGTTAAGTAGTATTATCCCCATTTTGCAGCTGGAGAAACTGAGGCAAATGGAGAGGCAATATCATGACTTGTTTAAGATCACGGAGCAAACTGCTGCCTGGAGTCAAGAATTCTGTGTTCTCACTCGAGGGACATAATTCCTCTCTTGGCTATGACACATTGCTCTTCAAGATCAAAGAGTTGGGAGGAATTTGGCAAAACGTGAGCAAATTGCCAAGAATAGGCTTTGATTCTTTTGCTGTTTAGTTTTATGTCTGTTATTTGCTTGGTTTGTTCTGTTTCTCGAAAACCATGGGAATTACCTGTCTGGTCACGTAGCAGCTTCTTAGGAAAGTGGACTGTGCAGTGTGATTCTAAGTGCAGACTTTAGAAAGCCCAGTGCTCTAATGGTAAATACAAACATTTCATAATGTGAAAAGCGCAACACAGTATGTCCCCTTAATATTAGGAAAAAGAAAAAAAAATGATTTCAAGCCCTCCCCACTCCCTACTATTACTGATTGACAACCAAACAAATAGACAAAAATGCACCCTCCCCCAACAATATCAGCTACATATTAAGGGGAAAGATGCCTTATTTCCTGAACCTACCACAATGTACAGAAAAGAACAGACAGCGCTATAAAACCCCTCTCTACTCCTGCTAGGGAAATCTTTAGACTGTGTCTACCTACTCAGTCTGTAGAATAAAGAATGTTCTTCAGGAAGCACAAAAATAGGTTTTCTTAAAATTCTTATTTTTAATCATGCTTTACTTTTTAATCTCTTTGTCTTCTATTAATCTCTATCTGTACAGCTTTGTCACCATCCATCTCTTCTTTTATATTTTCCCTACTTTGAAGTAGTTTGAGGAGAAAAAAAAAAAACACAAAAACCTCAAATCTGTTAACTTGAATTTATGGTTTCCTTTCTTCCTTCCCTCTTTCCTCCTCTTTTTCTTCCTCTCTTTCTTTCCTTTCTTAACACAGGTAAGACCTATAACAAACTGACAGAACCAAGTTAAACCAAACCTGGAAGGGAGGTAGCCAGAATCTGTCTCAAAGAATTATTGTCAACAAATAGCATTGAAGCATTGGCCAAGGCGGGAAAAAGACCAAGAGCACTGTCTAGGCAGTGACTCAACATGCTGAAGCCAGGAGAAGCAGCTGATACCCTCCATCCTCAGAGCCCTACTAGTTACAACCACTCATCTCCCCCTTTCATAACACCCCCCGTTCAGCCTCCAGAATGGACTTCCCAAGGGTTGTCTTCCCTTAAAAGGTGGCTGGCACAGAATCTAGGGGATAACACAGGCCCTCTGGCAGCCAGTAGGGCTGAGGCTCAGAAAGTCTTCCTAAGAGAAGGCTTGGCGACCTGTCCACCTGATCTTTTCTTTCTTGCTGTTAACAGGCGAATCCTTCTTCAGAACCTCCATGTTCTGGAGAAAGTTCTGAAGAAGCTAACCCATCTTCAGAACCTCCAAGTGCTTTAGGACCTCTGAGTTGCTGATAGACAGCAGTGCTGCAGAGAGGCCTCCTGTGAGTACTCCGCCGCCCTAAACTGAAGTTGATAAAGGGGTGAGAGTGAGTTTACCCCCAGAAAGCAAATGAAGCTGAGTATCAGCGCACTGCATTCATGGAGCCGACCGTCCTCCACTAAGGTAGGAGAAGGACCTATCAGTGGCACCTTGCATGTGGGACTGAAGCTGCCCACCCACCAGGCAGCCTCTCCCACCTAATATCCCTGGCAAATAGGCATTTGTGAGTAACAGGTTTGAATGATGGTGAGGAGGAGACTGGGAGACGCTTTGCTGAGAAGGGCTTGATCAATCTGAGACTCTGAAGGCAGAAGTCAGCTGCAGAATGTGGGTGAGTGGAGGAGGAAAGAGCGTGAGAGTGGGCTAAAAGGAAGCTGGTGAGGTTCTGCTGTGGTTCCTGCCACCCCACCGTCAGGAATGTTGTCTTCAGGTCTCCCAGGCTCTCTGCGCTACTTACTGATGTTAAAAAAAAAAAGGCAGCTGGGAGAGCCAACTCTGTTAACATCTTACCTCATTTGTTCCTTCCTATCTAGCACCACTCAGGTTGATAACTCAGCAAGGGCATGAGGGGACTTGAAGACTTAGCCAGAGTTCTAAGATACTGGAGAGGGATACAAAATGGAATCGATGCTTATACAATTATTATTCTCTTGCCAAAGATTGGCCCTGGTAATTAAAGGGAAAAAAAACCCCATGCCCTCAGTATAAATGAGATGCAAGTTTGTAAGAAGGAAACATAATGGATCTGAGTCAGGCCTTAACGATGGCATGCCTGGAACCCAATCTCGGAGACTGTAACATGGCAGAAGCCACACAAAACTATCTAAGCACTGCGTCCTTATTTGTGGGCACCTGTACGAAAAGCACCTTGATATAGTTATTAATGTAACAGACCACAGATGGCCAACAGACGTCTTCTCAAGTGTTCTCGGTCAGCAGTTAGCTGCTGCTGGGAGAGAGAACAGTAGGAAGGTTTCTGAAGTTATTTTTGGTCCCCGTTGGAAAAAAAAAAAAAAAGGCTCTAGTTGATGAACAGCGACTGTGTTGGATGCAGGAATGAGGAGAGTCGGCCACATGCTTGGTACCTTCCATGTCTATGCTATTGGTTTTTCGGTTGGTTGTCTTCACTAGACTTGAGATGATTGGGGGCAATATTTATGCACTATCTCTATCTTAGACCCTCCCATCACCTCGCTTTCTCAGTTTCAGAGATCATGGTAAATGTCAGCCTTCTTTCCACCTCATTCTGTATTCCTCACCTCCCTTACTAATTCAAAAGGAGTGGACAGGTTAACTGGCTGAACAAAGAGGACCCCAAAGAGGTGGGGGCTTCTGTGAGCATCTGGCTAATTTCCTCTTAACTTTTGGAGGCTGAACATGGGCGAGAGGAGGCAAGGGCCACCCTGGGACAGAGGTCGATGGGAGTATGGGAGCTGAAGGCTCTGTGGAAGGCATGATGACCATGCTGGGTGGGTGGGGACCGAGACTGGAAACCCTTGGGCTATCCCCTGAAGGCCCGTCTAGAACACAGTCCAGGTGTGGATCCCATCCGAGATGCTTCTCTGCTCCAGAACTATTGCTACTCAGGGCACAATGAGGTCCTCAGACCCAAAGCCTGCTCTCGCCGTGGAGGGGCAGGAAGACTTGGATAAGGATGCTAACCCAAGAGTCCCTGCCATCCCAACAGTTTCCGGAGGGTTCTGACATCATAGAAATGTAACACTGTTCCTCTTGCTTGTAAAATCTAACACTGGCTTAGACATTCTGGACTCTCGGTGAGGGTTCCAGCATCGGAAGCCCCTCAGTCCCCTTCCAGGATGAGAAGCCCACCCAGGGGGGCCTTCACTTCTCACCACGTGGGCCAATGAGGGGTTTTCCCTTGCAGAAGGACTAAGACGTGAGGAGTGGTGGGGAAATGTGGGTCACTTTTAAGGCAGACTGTTTGGTTGTGTGGGGGTTTTTCCTAACCTAGTCCTACCACCTTGGGGTACTCATGTATAGGATAGAGCAGCTGGAAAAGTAGCAGCAAGTGTGGTCCCAAGGCAAGATGTGGGGGATGTGAGGGATATTATGGCCTCAAGCCGGGGGCTGTTATAATACCTCGACATTGCAATCCTAAGCCATTTCCAGCCTGGCCTCGAACCCTGGGGGCTTTGCATACCTTGGATTCTTTACCTCTTCCTCGGGTCCTACTTCCCTAGAAGGGAGGTGATCAGAGACCATTTCACTTCCAATCCCAAAGGACTGCACACTCAGGCACACCTTACGTATTCTATAAGCCTCAGGGTGTGAGCTACCTTGGCATTTAACACTTGGTCTTAGCAGTTTCTGTAACTCTCTTTCTCCCAAGGACAGTGTTGGTTAAGAGCCTGGGAGAGGAAGGATTGAGTCTGTCCCAGTCTCTCTCTGCTCAGTCTCCAAAACTGCCCTCCCACGGATGTTTGCACGGGTGCGTATGCATGCATGCGTACTAACCACAGATGGGCACACTCCTAGATACAGAATATGTTTCTCGCTGTGGTCACGTGACAAATGGTTAGAATTTTAGGAGGCTCAGGGACTGCACGCTGTATGTGCAATCCTTCTAAGACTTTGAGATGGGATTCTATTCCATCATCCAACATGGCGAGACTTGGTTCACACGCCCACTCTACGAGTCCTTCCTGGGTGAAATTAAAGGCAGACCGGTTGGGTGCTAAGGATCCCTGGTGTGGAGAGGCCATTCCGTTGAGCAGCTGACTGTGAAATCAATACCAAAGGGATGCGGGTCCTGGCGTTGGGAATTCTTTGACAACTCCTTGTCCTTCCTTAGCCATGGCTGTATCCTCGGAGGTCTTTCCGGCTGTGTTCTTGGGCCTGGGGGTCCCGGCAAGCACAGTCACCCTGTAGGTCACAAGACATGGGGAAGGGTGTGACCTGCAGAGAGAAAGGCAGAAGCGGTTAGCCAGGTGCTTGGGGCTGAAACAGAAATTTCTAGAGAAGCAGTGCAGGGCAGAGGGTTCATCACTGGATGTTGGGGGCAGCAGATTCAAGCTCAAGTCATGACTCTGCTTCTTGCTAGCCTTATGATAATTTTATTAGGATCACCATGGTCATTATCATAGCTGTTTCCATTTTCACGGGCATGTATTACAGGTCAGGCAATGTGCTCAATGCTTTACAACCAGGAAAGAGCTGAATTCTTCAACAACTCTGTAAAGTGAAAGTGAAGTCTCTGAGTTGTGTCAAGTAAGGGACAAATCCAGTATTTTAAAGTAAGGCAAGCCACCTCTCCTCGAGCCTCAGGTTCCTCCTAGCTGTGAAATCAGTGGAACAAGACCTGCCTTGCACTGTGGACTCTGAAGGCTGAATGAAATTGTGACTGAGAAGTTGTCATGTATCACATGAGTGTCGGTTAATAGACTTGTACAATGGAATATATAGCTTCTAGGACTGTTGGGGCGATCCACTGATAATAAAAGATGCAGTGATGTCTTTTAGGAAAACCTAACTCTCTGCACATACTGGTAATTTTGATTTGGAGATGAGGAAAATAACAAAAGCTTTTGCCGGCAAGCTCAGACCATCTTCTAGGACAGTGGTCCCCAGCCTTTCTGGGACCAGGGACCAGTTTCGTTGAAGACAGTTTTTCCGTGGACCAGGGGTCGGGGGATGGTTTGGGGATGATTCAAGCGCATTACACTTAATGTGCCCTATATTTCCATTATTATTACATCAGCTCCACCTCAGATCATCAGGCATTAGATCCCAGAGGTTGGGGACCCCTGTTTTAGAGCGCCCGAAATCCTGGTGGGGAACGTTTCACAGAGAGATTTTTTTTTTTTTTTTTTGCAGAAAATTAGGTTGAAGGATCCTAGGAGCAGATTTTAGCATAAGAAAAAGTGAGGGGTGCACAACGGGATTATTTGATATATGTAAAGATTACAAAATTGGAGAGGCCCAACTTTCATTTCCCAGTCCGGACCCTTCACATGCCTTGTGACCTTGGGCTGGCTTTCCTTTCTAGAAACTGTGAGAAAGAGACCAGCAGAGTGAACGTCCTCCCCACACGGCAGAGGATCTGTCTTTGCAAAGAGCACAGTACGGTCCCTGCTTGAGCCCCAGCCTGGGCTGACGCGAGTGGATTTCACCTCATTGCATCATGACATTTGCATAGAACTTTCCCTAGAGGGTCCCCCATCTGCGCAGATGGATTTAATGACCTCATTCGCCTCCTGCCTGGGCAGGGTCTCGAGTGCTCACAAGGCTCAGAGAGCATGTTTGTCCCTCTGGCTGTGGGCTCATTCTCCTGAACACTTTCTCCCTGCTCTGTGCCTTTCTTTCTTCCCTCTTTGCCTCCCCAACCTGCAACTTCTCAATAATTTAAAAGTGTAGGAATGAACAGGAAGATTGATGTAGAAGGCCCAGCTCTCTCACCTAACTGAGGTGTGACCCTGAATAGGTAACAATTTCTCTGAGCCTCAGTGATCCTTCCTAGAGGGGGAGAAGCGAAAGTGTGCCCCTCCAGTGGTTGTGACAAGGGGTAATGAATTAGCCGATAAAATGAGCACAGCAAGCAATGCCTGCCACATGCCCGGTGTGCCTCCTTCTCGGTAAGCAAGGTGGGGACTGTGTCAGCCTTGCTCACTCTTGTGTCCCCAGCGTCTAAGCTGTAGAATACGAATGCAGGTGTGTTCACTTCGCCCTCTCTCTGACTCACTGCAGCAGGGCTAGTGCAACTCCTAGTTTCTCTTTTCAGTTCCAGCTCACAGGTGTGGGATGCCCTGGTGAGCATCCCCACAGCTACCACTTCCATGCAGAGGCTGCCTTGCTGCTTTCAGCTGCTCACTATGCCCTGATTCCAGGACACTCCCCAGCCTCCATGCGTATGCAGGGGCCATACTGTTCCCATCTAGAATGTTCTTCTGCAACTTCTTCACTGCCCCAAGAAGCAGAGAACGCTAGGCTCGAAAGAGACCTAGAGAAAATCCTCCAAAGTAGGGAGAGTGAGGGCAGGGCCACATCCAGATCTAACAGCTGAGGTCCAGTGGGGAGACCCTGTGAGCAGAGAGGCCTGGATTAGTATCCTCTCTTGCCTCATACTCGCTGAACAAGTGTGGGAAAAACCCCTTTGCTACCATCACCTTGAATTTGTGCATCTAGAAAACGGTGATAAAAAAAAAAAAATTACAGTAAGTCCGCTCCATACGAATGAGTTCCATTCCCAGAGCACGTTTGCTAAGTCCAATGTGACCCTAAGTCCAACAAAATTAGCCTAGGTACCCAATTAACACAATCGGCTATATAGTACCGCACGTAATAGGTTTATAATACTTTTTGCACAAATAATACATAAAAAACAAACACAAAAAGAAAACATTTTTAACCCTACAGTACAGAACCTTGAAAGGCACCAGCATACAATGACTGGCACACAGGGCTGGCATGGTGTGAACAGGCAAGAAGAGCTGCTGCCTGGAGGGAGCACCGGAGGGCCGTCAGTGAGCAGAGACGGCGGAGGAGGGCGAGCTGCAAGCTCACTCACACCCGACATCGGTGGCACAGGTTCCGGTTCCTCGCTGGACCCAGACGCACGTTCCCATCTTTGCAAGTTTGCACCTTGGCGGTGCGTGGGCAGGGGACGTCCCCTACTGCAGTTCAGGCGGTTGGGGGGATTCCACAAGAAAGATGCAAACCCTCCCAGCACGTGGTCTGACACGCGGGTCGCCCGATGCTGAGTCGGCCTCCCGCAGGCTCGTTCTGCCTGCCTGTGACACCCTGCCTGCCTGCCTCCTCCCCGGCCTGAGCGGCCTCTGTTTCCCCCGGAGCTGTCCCGTCCTCTTGCCCTTGCCCACGTTCTAACGTTGGGATGCCCAGTGACCGCTCCTGTCTCCTGCACCGTGGGTTCCCTCTGTCCCTCTCCCACCGGGCTCCACGGTTCTTTCGGGACAACCTCACATATGGTTCCTCTCTCCTGCTTCCTGTTGTACCTCGCCCAGGCAAAACGTGCAACAGATTCTGTCTCTGAGGATAAGACACAAAGTCCTCAGCGAGAGTTCAGGGCCTTGCCTGATCTCCACACCCTTCTTAGACCTCATCTGGTTCCCTTCATCCCCTCGCTCTCTGCGGCTTGTCTGTTTCCTGTTTCCTCAAAGACGCCAGGTGTTTTCCTGCGTTTGAGTCTTCAGCTGTTCTGTTCCTCCCCGCTCCTGCTCTTCCCTGGCCAGCTCGTCTTCATCCGCCAGGTCCTACCGCAAGCACTGCCTCCTGCCTCCTTAGTCTGACCAAAGACGGGACCATCACGCTCCTCCCGTACCCTAGCATCCTACCCCTACCCCGTTCTTGGACGGAATCACGTCTATGCTTGTATGCCTGCGCCGTCTGGGCAGGGGCCTTGGCTGTGCTGTTGTTGTTTTTTAACATGTATTATTTGGCCGTGCTGGGTCTTAGCTGTGGTATGTGAGATTGTTTAGTTGTGACACGTGGGATCTAGTTCCCTGACCGGGGATAGTAGCCGGGCCCCCTGCATTGAGAGCGTGTAGTCTGAGCCACTGGACCAGCAGGGAAGTCCTCGTGTCTGTGGTTGGCCTCTTCATCTACCACGTGGCAGGCATTCAAGGGACCCGTGAATGGAGGGACATACGAAAGCACAAATACCCAGGGACACCACCGGTCAGCGAGCCTCTGCTCTTGCATTCCTGTGCTGTGTAACTTTGTACGAGCCACCTCCCTTCTCGGGCTTCAGGGTCCTTATCTGCACACCGAGTTGATTTTAATGATCTCTACCTTCCCTTCTGTTTGAGACTCCTTCTCAGCCCGAGAAAGGTGGACGGCGAGGCCCTGGGCAGAAAAGACCAGGAAATGATGCCCTTCTCCACAGCTTATGTCTTGCACGTCCCCCTTCCTGCCACCCCAGTCCCAGGAGCTTCTCCAGAGTTATCAGCCAGCAGGACCCTATGATGCCAGGGAGCTTCGCAGGCCCGTGTGGGCACCCTGGCTGTGTGGGTCGTGGTGTGAGCACACGCTTTCCTCCTGGCCCAGCTCAGGGAGTTTCAGCGTTCCCCTAAAGACATGGGTCTGGATCCGCAGGGAAGGAACCTTAGAACACAATGAAGTCTAGAAGGTTTAGTCTCGGGGGGACGATCGGGGATGCTGCTTGTGCACTTCCATGCTTATAAACGCAGGTGCACTGATGGAGCCCTTGCCAGGGGCCTGGGAGCACCCCGCTCGACTTTCAGCAGGCCCTTGGTACCCGTGGAGCTGGACTCCCCATCAGTCAGACGAGGGATCTGGTGAGGACCAGTGGAGCAATGCCGCCTGCACACCAGCCCGCGGAGGTCCCGGTGCAGAGGACAAGCCCGGTATCTCGCCCTTCTTGTCTCTCCGTGACCTGCCCGTTCAGAGCCTGCCTCGGGGGGTCTCCTCTGCCCACAGGCGTCCTTACTGACTGGGCATCTACAACTCGTGAGGGAAGGTGGAGCTCGCCAGCCCCACCCGCTCCCCCAGATTCCCCAGGTCTGAGCTGGAAGAGACACGCCCAGGTCTGGTCCACGGCCGCGTGCACACACACGCAGGTACTGCCTGAGGCCGTCCGTGTGCAGGATGATTCCCACGTGGCTCCACCCAGGCTCGAGAGGCTGCTGTCCTTTAGCTACCCAGCTTACAGATGGTAAAATAGAGGCCCCAGCCTGTCTCAAACCTGCCCTGGACCTCACGACCTGTCAACCGGGTAGGTGCTGCAGGATTTTAAGCCCCCACTCTGGACACCGAGAGCTGTCGGCAAGCCAGACAAGAGGGGGAAGGCAGCTCTCCATCCCCCGTCCCGGCTGAGAGCTGTGGGCTCTGTTTAATAGTCACTCGCCTTCTACCTATTATTATGTGCCGGGCGCCCGTTACTCACCCTTCCCAGCAGCTCTTCTCACAGTCCTCGTTTTATA